AAAAAAACTACCAAGATCAAGTACTGTGGCAGATTACGAGTTGTGATCAAAAGTTTTGAGTCTCATTGCTGCGTTTTTGTCCATTTTTAGAGCAATTTTCCTAGAGACAGATTTTTACCGCTTTCGTCCGCCATATTGGATTGCTCATGAAAATAGTCTCTAATGCGCATGCGTCCGGTTTTTCCGCTCTGTCACCGTTAAATATAAAAGAGGTCAAGTCAGTACGAAAATTTAAAACGGAAATTGATAGTTTGTACAGTAAGAAAAGTTGTAACTAAGGGCTCCACGGCAAACATGTAAAACAGTAACTAGCTTTTTAATCGTAAATCTTTACTTTTAAATATTTTTAGGCAATCGACTGATGTTTTTACCGTGGCAAAATAAAGAAGCTTCCTTCCTTCCTTAAAAAAAAAATACAAATCTTGTTATCAGATTATATGTTCTTCCGTTCCCTTTCGCACGCATCAAAATCTTCTCAAAGGAGTAGGTATTGTACGGCTAAAATTCTGGACGCGCTGAAATTCTTCTGAAACACAATACTAAAGCAACACGAAAAACTAAAAAGATCCCTGCAATAATCAAACTAAAATGAGTTGTAACATTGATATGCCGAGGCGGATAAAGTGAGTAAAACTTTCGATACGACTACTATCATTGACTGATTGACTCTGATGGCTGCATTGATCACCGGTCAGTACGCAAAGATACTGACGCGCATGACGTCGTCAAAACCGAAAGTTCCGCATTTCACAAACAGTTTCTTTAGCATTAAATTTCTAAATGATGAAAATGATAATTTCTGATAGCTAAAGTATGCGATTGGTTAGGTTAAGGGGCTGGGTTGGAGAAAGGTCGTTGCCCTCCAATAGGATCACATCTTGCAAATTCGTGAAGGACAACCCAAGTATACAGCCATAGTTACTCTTGATGATAGCCATAGCGTAGGCGATGCCCCTTGTTCACGCATTTAATGAAATAAAATCTCTTTCGCAATGCAATACGAAATATCGCGACCAATATTTGAATACTATTGTTCTGGACTGACTTGCCTTGTGTGCACGTGGAAACACAAAAGCGTCTTTACATGTAAGAGATAATGACTAGTTTTAGAACTAGTTTGGACTGCGTCGGTGTTTTTTAGTTTACATGTAAGAGAGGCTAGTCAGTCCAGAACAATTGATATACATCTGGTCGCCAAATTTCTATTCGGTGCAGTACTAATTCCAGGAACTTCGTTGCTTTTATCTGCGTTGCTGTTAACTGAGCATGTTTCACACGTGAGTCAATGACTAAAATATGAGGAATAGTTCGTTACTCAAGTGTAGCTTTATCATGGAATGACGCATGGCAGCCTTGACATCCGCATGTATCTATCCCGCTTTCACCGGGGGTTCACCGTACTGTAAACTGTTTTCATCACATTCCCTAGCGGTAGGGAACTGTTGAGAATTTACACACGAACTTTTTACAATTACTTACAAATTTCTCGCGCGCTGATTGGTTATTTTTTATCATCAATAAGAGAGGATAGACAAATAAAGCTGACGTCAACGAGCGCGCGCTCTTTCCGTTAGTTGATCGCTAAAAGGAAAAGTTTTATCGTTTTTAATTATAGTAAGTTGTTTTCGCTAGGTATTTTATCGTTTTTGTTTTTGTAAGATGTCCATTTGTTAAATTGCACAAACAGGACCACGCAAACTGAATTGATCTGCAATCTGTCAGTTTTTAAACTTAAAAGAAATCATGGCCCCTATAAAATAGGCCAAATGATCTCATTCACGTTACAGTACTCGTTTAAATAAAAGAACATAATAAATTTGATGAATGATGTCACCTAGACCAAAGTCTCCCCCACGCCCACCCCCACGCGTAAGTTTAGTTGCCTATTGGCCGCCATTTTGACAGACTATAAATACAGAGGWTTTGCAAGAGCCATGTCCATCAACAGGACGACAATCGGAAGTGTAAACCTATACCTTGGAAACCTATGGTTTCTTCTTGGAAATTGGCCATAATCCTTTCTTCAGTTTAAGTTCTGTTAACTTGGAACAAGCCATGCAAACTTCACTGAACGCCGTAAAAATGAAGGACGAAACCGTCTTGTTTTGTCCTGGTAATTGTAACGACAGAGGTGCTTGTGTAGCGGGCAGTTGTGTTTGTGAAGTAAGTATTGAGAAATAACTAGTCTAGTTTATGTAGCTTTTACTACTTTTATATTATCGGTCTTTACATTTATTCCTTATGGTTGCAAAAAAGCTTTTTTTCCTACAGTGTAGCTAACTAGCATCATCTTTGCATAGCTTGAAATACAACCACGGCTCACTTTTTCGCCATTAAATTGTTTCCTATGCCTCATTGAAATTGTAATGATTCTTCTCAAGAGATATATTTGACATGTACAAGCTAGCTAAATTTGGGTTAATGAAGGATAGTTCATTTATATTGACAATTCCATGCATCGGAAACTTCCTGTATACTTTATATTCCTCGTGAGATATGAATTCAAAATTACATCAGCGCCTTCATGAACTAGATATATTCTTTGTCAACTTTATGAACTATTTTAGGTCCCTCAAATCTTCTTCAGCTGATTTCCCTTTGGATTTCTTCACTAATCGGAAATATAATTGTTACTAAACTATTGGAGCATAAAGACTTTTAATGAACTTAACAAATATAATTTCATCAATTATTTATAATCTCTGTAGTTTGTTTCGTCCATGGACAGGTTCCCAAATACCACTGTGTCCAAAAGGATTAAACCACTAATCTTTCATATACTTTTCTTACAAAGCCATTATGTGTACAGTATGTACTCATATACCCATGATATACAGTCCTTTGACTAAACGTTGTCGTTTGATCGGCTTCATCCCTACGCGCCTAGACCGAAAAGGAACATGGGGATAATTAATTCACAGTTACTAGCTGCCGCATATATGTTATATAACACATCTTGAGCTCGCTGTTTTCGTTCCCATTTAATTTGCTAAAACCATGCCTGGGGCATAAGGCGAAGATTTAAACTGGCGAGCAGTTTGGATGACGCAAGTTCTGGGTAATTTACCTGTTATCCTTTTCAGTCTAGGCGCGTAGGGATGATCCGATCAAGGACAACCTTTAGTCAAAGGACTGTATATTCACACAGCATGGCACAATGATTACATACAATGAAATACAATTTCCTGTACTRTTTCCTGTAATGACCATATATACATTATCAGAATTGTTTGCAACATTGATATAGATTATTTTACATTTCCTCTCAAGGTACGGTACAGTGGAGGTAACTGCACAGACTCCAACCTGGGTTACAATATTGGCTTTGGGTTAACCTTCTACTTACTATGCGTTGTTTGTTTTCTACAGCTGGTAAGTATCCTTTTGTCTGGCTTTTGTTATTTGATTTTTGATATTTGAATATCATGGTCCATGCATTTTAAATGAAGTGTCCCCAAGATATTTTATACACATCCCACACGAAGTGATTAATAACAGACAAGTATGTTATGTATTCTAGGTCTTGTGTATATGGAGTGAGTTTGGAAAACTAAAAAGACCATCGTTAGCCAAAGCATGCCGTCCAACAGTTCAGAAAATGCTCTACATTTGTATGATCATAGCCTGTGGCTCCAGAGGAGTCTATCACTCTATACAGGTATAATGAGGATAAATACTTTCACAAGCATAAACACCTTCAAGGGATCTAGGTTTTTAAGTTTGTGGGGGGTGGGGAGGGGGTTACCCAGGCTAGAAAACAGGTCAAGTTGTTGTGATTATCTTCACAGGCACTTCCTGGGTATTCTTGCATCTGCCTGATGCCCATAGGACTTTTCTAAACTGTGCCAACTTTAGTACTTATACCAACTATTCTACCAAACAACTTCGATCTGTCATCATCATGTAATTAATGCATACTGTAAGAATGACAAGTGATGAACTCCAGATATCTGAGAAATTACTCAGTGAAGGGGTATAGAAGAAAGTAACACTTGTAAATTTGTAGCTATATGGTGATGTGCTGATGAAGGTGTATGATGATAATGATGAAAAAGATTACAATATTATTGATAACAGCATAAAACTCCTTCTTTCTTGTTAGGAGTACCTGCCTGGTTGGCTAGCACCCAACTTGTTCAGTGTTTATTATCCTATCATCATGTCTGGATTTTCCATTATTATTTGTTTCTGGGCTGAGGTATTTATTTCTACACATTCATTTTAATCTACTAGCATCTGCTATGCTCATCACAATGCAGGCGCCCAGCTATGGGATCTGGAATTGGGCCATTACACAGGGCATGAAAGAACATGTTGCTTTGTTGTGGAGTGAGAAAAACCAGAGACTATCATTCTTGATAATCATGCCTAATAATTAGTTAGTGAATATATATGTACCTTATTTCTCCTCAGACATTTCATGTTGAAGGTCTTCAGTTAGATAAACCACGATTTCTAAGCAAGTCCAACATTGGATTCATAATATTCAATGCTTTCATCTACTTGTTACTTGCTGTGCAAGTCATTACGATAGAAGTCACTGATTATAACACTAAGGTTAGTTATGAAAGTGGTAATATCTACGTTACATATATATTTGCTATATCTTAGTACCTGGTATCTTTGAAAAATGCTTGGAATGAATAACTTTTGCTGGGCTCGCATCCCATACAAGGGGAATATGAAGCATCCTATGTGAGGGGAGGGGTTTCAAGAATGGTTTTGTTTACTGTTCACATGCTGACTATAATGAGTCCTAATAGCTTGTTGTCCAAATACAACTGGTGCAATAATTGGTTTCTATTTACACTTTATATGTCTGTCGTGATGTGGTTTATTTCATATTGAATGTGTTGTGCTGCTTTTGGTTCAGTCATCTTTGCACTACACACCTTTCAATGAATGTTCATCAACAGGTTTACCTTCACAACATCTTCAGTGGCATTTTTGCATCACTGATGTTCCTGGTGCTGATATTTTTCCTTATTTATGGAGTTGAACTTTACTACAAGGTATGAGTACATAATAAACTCCCTGCCATTATCTGTCAGTCATGTTTGGATGGATATCCTATCAAGGACTGTGGAGGGGGTGGGCATATGGATGGTTCCTACAACCCCTCTTCCTCCCATTTCGATGCTTTAGCCCCAGAATTCAGCCCATCTACCCTAGGCACACTGAACTGATACAATGTATTTAATCTGTATAATAGGTAAGGGGTGCGTTCATGACCACACCCTCAAGTAGGGTAGACTGTGCCCAGGTTACCATGTCCAGACTAGGTCTTGTATCACAAGCATTTTTCCAGGTATGTTATCAACATGTTGTCTTAATATTTACAAAATAATGCAGTTGTTATCAAAGGAGATTGTTACTCTTTTTGTTGCTGTTGCTACCCTTGTTAAATTGCATTTCTATTGATCTTTCTTTCTAGCTTCTAATATCAATGTATTTAATGGGAGAAGTTATGGGTAAAGTGTGGAAAGACAGGTAAAAACATTGTTGCTTTCTTAATACCCAACCACAATGACATATGGCCGACGGTGTTCATTAAGAAGGGATGTATATATCATACAGTAAAGCTCTGTTAACAGATATACATTGTACATCACATACAGGTCAACCCCACTTTATTGTATTACCAAGAATAACTGCTGTTAATCTATAGATACAGCATCCTATGGAGACTTAAAAGTATTGGTTACATTCCTTACTTCACCCTTGTGTAACACATAGTCCAGTGGTCTTCCTGTTCAGGTCTACTGGGTCAACTAATCACTGATAATCGTATCTTCTTTTATGAAACTAGTCAGAACTGCCAGCTTTCTTTGAGTGGTTGTTTCTATTCATTCAGTAGGGTCAAAACTACATCTGAGCTAACTTGTTGTATAGGGTGAAGGTTGCTGGTAGAAAAAGATTTGAATTACAGCATGCAGAAACTAAACTCACTTTCTTATGCCAAAAATGCAAAAAGTAATCCCATAAAGATTAAAATATAAAGTGTAATCCTGTATAAGAAGATAAATATAAAATACCTCCTTGAATGTGATGGTAAATAAAAATCTTGAGTTGAGTTGTTTATTTTTGTTGGATTGTCTTGTTGTAGGTTACCAGTGGATAGTAGAAATGTTCTGGAGATTCTCTTTAGGATATTGGAAGTAGCTGTAGCACTGTGGTTCCCTTGTTGTCTATGGAACTGGAAAAGGTCAGCAACATACTTGAATGGAATTCATGCAAATGTATAACTGTGGAACAGCACGATACACAACATTCACTAGGTGTAATAACTTCCTCGTACAGAACAAAAACCATAAGGTACCGTCACAGTTACGGTACACCATTACAGCACTGTAAGCTTTTTCACAGTCTTACAGACATCTCTTCAGATTCATGGTTTCTTTCTTTATATTTTGATGGATAATATTTATGCTTATGTTTTCTTGTGTTCTGTAGTCCCCACCAACTTTGGATTCTTAACCCAAACAAGCTACTACTAAGACAACAGTCTGGGGTAAGTCCCTGTTGTGTCATGCAACCCAAACTGTGTTTACGCAGTTGTGGTTGAATTTTGCTTGGTAAATTTTATACTTTTCTATTTGTATAGGAAAACCAAAATTTATTATCCTCTGAGAAACAAACGACATCCTACGACGCAATCGAAACCAAAAAAGGTAGACAGTCTGGTTCTCACATCCTTTTACTAGTTGTTATTCTTGTAGCTGTTGCTGCCATTACAGCTGTTCCTGATGTTGCTGCTGCTATTGTTGTTGCTTCAGCTGTTGTTGTTCTTGCTGCTATTGTTGTTCTTGCTGTTGTTTTTGCTTCTGCTGATGCTGCTGCTACTGCTACTGCTCCTTTAGCTTGTTAACAGTCTATTAGCTTATTGTGATGATAGTGGGATCTCTGTTACTCTTCATTACTCGAGATACAATTCCTCTTTTCGTTATTGTTGTTGTTGCAGGTAGCGATCAAGAATGTTGGGTGTGCTATGACAATGAACGACGTGATGCAGGTGACATGATATACCCCTGTCAATGTAAAGGTGATGTGGCTGCAGTACACCATGAATGCCTCAGAAGATGGCTACTAGAGGTAACAGACACTTTGGAATCTATTACGAAACCATTTATCATACAGTATCAGGACTAATCGCATGATATTTTTGTTATTTCAGCTGTCCACAGAAAACCACGAGGTACCGAAGTGTAAAGTGTGCGGTAGTGAGGTAAGTTGATAAGAAACTCTAGCGCACAATGTTTAACATGGATTCTGTGTGTGTATTGAAACAGATAACATTTGTTCAGCCATACTTGGCGCCGAGGGTCTTTAGCGCTAATGCCTTTAACAATGCGCACTCTCCAAGTAAAAAAAAACCCGCGCGTGTAACGATTGATCGTCTTGTATAGGGTAGTGATAGTATTTCTAGGTTTTAAATGATGACATACACATCACTCCTTTTTTTGCAGTATATTTTCAAATTATCGCATGGTCGAGTCTGGTTACCAAGTGGTTTAAATGTCAGGTAACACGTTTACTATACGTATCAATTGATCTTAGTTAGGGATTAACTAACCCACAGATCTATTTTGCCTTCAGGTACTGGCTGCAAGCTGTCTTAGTCTTGGCCGTCATGGTAACTTCACCTATTGGTGCATATATCCTGTGTATATCTAAGGCTCCTACTGCCTGTAAGGTTCTTATCATAGGTATCTGTATCATCATGGAGTATCTATGCTTGAGGTAGGGGTTCTTATCATGTCTCAAACATGATCCTTTGCAAACCTTTTGTTCTAAGCTTCCAGATATGATTTTTTTTGCCTGTTTCGCAGGTTGATGGGCTTTAATATGATGGGAGCGTACAGGAGAGCACGTTTAACAGCCATTACTATCATTGGACGTCATGATCCATCCACACCAAAAAACAACCTTCACCCTGAACTAGAAGTAGTTGAAGATGTAATGCACCAAGCATCAACCTCGACTCAGGCGTGACTCAACAGTCTTACGTGACGTGGAATTGTAACGCAAAGAGATTCTTACTTAGAAAAACATGGTTATCGTGCATCTTTAAAAAAATTTGCAATTGTAAATATATTGAACAAATATTGCGTACATTAACATGATCAAATGAATTATGAACAGGACCAATTTAATTGAATCGAATTTAAATTATCCCAAGAGACTGGAGATTATCTATAGATTATTTGTTATAGATATTTTTCAATGAAATTACTAGAATAAAAGATAGCGAAAACACTTTTATTTCTAATAAACAAAATTACAAGAAATTTGTTCAGTCGATGTCACGCGATGCATTGTTGCGCGCGAGAGCAAGCGCGGTATACGCTGCCGTTAGAAATATCGAATCCAATCTCGTACCCAGAGCCTGCGTTTCTTCTGGCCTGCAGCGAAGAACGAGGGCTCTGGCATAATCCATTTTTGGCGCATGCGCAATTTTCGAAAAAGATATATATAACCGATCAAAATAATCAAAATAAAAATTAAATCAAAGCAAAAATCGAAGTAAAAATCAAAGTAAAGATCATAGGAAAAGTTAGAAATCGGGAAAATATTTTTCATTTTTGGCAAGTCTTCGAACGCATGCGCTTTTGAACCGGAAGTCCAAGAAATCCTGGTCTCAAAAAATGGATTATGCCAGAGCCCTCGGTTCTTCGCTGCAGACAAGAAGGAACGCAGGCTCTGGGTACGAGATTGTATCGAATCGCCATAAAGTAATTGCTCTCAATAACCGATCTTCTGCAAGCAAAGCAGTTTTTGGTAGACGTTAATCAAAGTGTCAGTCCATCATCGTGACGGAACGAAAGTTTCAAATATTTAATGGTAAGCCAGTATTTCTCTAATAAGGTTTAGGCTTTTAATCACGCTTTAAGATATTAATTAAACATACAAATTTTAAAGCCAACTAAATTGTATGATAATAAATTTATATAATAAGCATTCATTAAACGTGCTTAATCAACTCGTAACGAATCTGCGCTAAATGATTATATGTTGCTAAGTAACAATGCATAGTCTCTAACAATTACTAATATAATTAATAATAATAAATCTCTAATATCTATCAGCAAAATAGACCATTACTTTGGTCGATAAACATGATGCATTGTGGTCTAGACTGGGTACCAGCATCTTTTCTTTATCATGCCTCATATTGCTGTTTGTACCCAAGGTAGACCAGAATGCATCATGTTTATCGACCAAAGWAATCAATCTCAGCTGTCTAGTAGCAGTTGGTCATTAACGCAGTTGCCAACTTCAAACAGAATCCTCAGAAAAGTTTAGTCTACAAATACAAACATCTTCTAAAGATGGACTTTTAAGCAACTTTACTGTAACAAAGTAGAAATGTTACAGCACGAATACTCCATATTGAGCGGTTTTCGTATGAGTGAAAGCGGCATACGGCACTTGACGTACAGCAAGTACATGAACATGGCTTCCCATTACGTGTAGTTACAGCTACGCTAAGATACTGGTAGTACGGCTAAAGTACGAATTTGCCGCACCGTTTTCCACACATAAGAAAACCGCTCTATATGTATGTGTTTACTGGACTTATACTATACTCAGCTTCGAACAAAGCAAGCTTTTCTAACGTTTTTTTTTTTTTTTGAACTTATATCACACACGTTATTCTTTTGTTTTGTTTGTTCTTATTGCTGTTCTTGCTACATTGTTAGTGTTCTATCGTCAATTTTGTTTTGTATCATATTTTTGAGGTTTTTCAGTGTTGCTTTTTCCCTCTAGTTTTCTACGTCCCATAGCCTAAACTAACCCTAAACTTTAATTTAACATATCAATTGAATCAAGTCCCAAATAATCAGTTGGAGTTTTTTCATAAGAAATCCAAACTTTACGAAATATTATGCAGTAGTTTTGTTTCTTCTCACTTGGTTCCATTTCTCGTGTTGTTGTTTTTCTCTTATTTCTTGTTTTCTCATATCTTTTTTTTTCTTTTTTCGTTTTCATTTCCTTTGTTTGTTTGTTTGTTCTTGTTTTGTTTTAGTTTTCTAGTAACTGATTCGTTTATATATACACATATGTAAATAAGAGTTAAAACAAGAATATTTTTCTCTCTCGAGTTTCATATCGTTTTTCTCTTGTCCAATGGTTTCCGCCCTCGACATATAAAATCAGGGTTTTATCGCAAGAGGGATATTCCTGGTTTTGGAATTAGTTTTATAAAGCCTCTATAAAACCAGAGGTTTTTGCAATCGCTTGGCTTTCATTGTCTTTTCTATCAGAAACATCAAAAAGCCTTTTTACACCCAATTCGGGTGACTGAATTCAAAGCTTCTACAGCAACATAAGCTTCAAGATAAGCTTGTCTATTGGGACTTTTGTGCAGTAGTTTCGTCATTATTGGAACATGGGATGAACATCGAGTCCTTCTACCCCTGTCCTATCGACAATACTAAGTCTAGTATCAGTGATACAGGTGCTATGGACCCCTCTAGTCACATGGTGTCATTATGATATGTATTGGGAAATGGGATGAACACCGAGTCCTTCTCTCCCTGTCCTATCGACCATACTGAGTCTAGTATCAGTGATACAGATGCTATGGACCTCTCTATTAACATGGTGTCATTATCCTATGTATTGGGACATGGGATGAACACCGAGTCCTTCTCCTCCCTGTCCTACTGACCATACTAAGTCTAGTATCACTGATACAGATGCTATTGACCCCCCTAGTCACATGGTGCCATTATCCTATGTATTGGGGTCCTTTTCCCCTGTCCTATCAACCATACTAAGTCTAGTATGTAGATGCTGCTGTAGACATGGGGTGTTGCCCTTGGTAACGGGCTTCTATAGGCACTTATGTATGTGTTTAGTGGATTTATCCTGATCTACAACATTATGGTATAGCATGCGTCAAATGCTGGTAAGCTGTAAAGGATACTTATTTACATAACACCTTGAGATAAGCCTTACCTACAGGGGTGGGGTGCAATAGACCCTGTACCTTATTCAGAGAGAAGAGGTACACGAGGTACCTTCGTCTTTGCTTTCAACTGCACTTGAACATGTTGAATACCATAACATTGCTTACAAGGATGATGTAATGAAGTCATCTTATTTTACTTACTTTAAGGCTTGCGCATGATTAAATCAAGAATCTTCTCAATCAAAAGAAAGATGCCGTTAAACAGAAGACGTTTGAAGAGTTTTGGATAAAACATTTGGTTGAGGGGTCTTTTAACTTTAGCATGTTGGTCGCCAACCTTACTGCATTGTGCGCAAGTATTTTCTTGATTTCTTATCAGACGTAAAACAAAACGTTCATCAATCTTCAGTAAACCTATAAAGTTTCGATGACTAGTACGTTAACCAGGTACATACATGTATTTAACAGTTGAAGTGCAGAAGGGTTCATTTCTACATCATGTCCATCGTATCAACAATGATCTTGATGAACATAGTGTCATCCCGGATGTATGCATGTTTGTCCAGTTCAGACAGTGGGCAAAACATGGGACACCCACTCGCGATGTTCATTTCACCACGTGGCCTCTGGAATGAAGAACTCGAGGGATCAGGACGAAAAGCATCAATGACATGTTCCACGTTATCCTGATCAATTAACATTAGTGTCACCTTTTGTCTGAACGGCCATCGGAGTAACGCATCGTGTTCACCGCGCATGAGCACAAAAAACAAAGAGATTGAGTTTCCTCGGCCCATTCCATCTCCGTTCAAGTAGATGCGCGCGCACATCCTGTAACCCTGGCGACTGCTGTAGAATTGTGGGCTGTAGAAGGAAAGCACACGACCAGTAATGGCTTCAGTTCTTCTCCTTGCCACATCTGTGATTTTCCAGACCAAGATCCCATCATGTGTGACATATTTCATCTCAGTTAAGGCTTCTCCCAAGTCAGCTAGTGCTATATTACTCATTGCTGTTTCACTTTCCTGCGCGTGGATCCGCGTCTCCAGCCTCTTTTGTGACTCTTCTAATTCTTCTACCTTTCGTCTCACTTCAGCAACAGCTTCGCCTTGTTCGGTTGTTCTTCGGATGTTATCAATATGGTACACCTGCGTCTGTGCCACGGTATTCTCCACGTTCGTGATTCTTTTTCTCAGATCCTTAAACAATTCTTTGGACTCCTTGTCAGTCGGTGTTTTGTAAGTCACTGCAGAAGAAGCGATTTCAACATCTGATGCGCTGGCCAGGCGTTGCTCCATCTGTAACAGCTGGCTTGTTTGTTCTGCTATCTTTCGCCTCATGTTAACATTATCTTGCATAAGAGCTTCGACTTTGACCATCAAATCTTTCATCATCTTGTCTTTCTTTCCCTCGGGATAATTCAGCACAGGACTCATGGATCGTGCACCCACGGCTTGCGGTGTTTCTACACGACTTTTCAGGTCCAAATAGTCCTTCTGAAGCCAACTCAAGTGATCTGCAATTTTTTCAGCCAAGTGTTTGGAACGACGTTTCTTGTTCATGACCTACATACACAGAGAAAAACGAAGAAAGACGTCGTTTAAAAAGTCCTTTTTTTCAGCGCTTAGAAATTACTGGTGCTGACCGACAGGAATGCTGGGGCTAGGTGCGTGCGCACTTCCGATGACGGAGAAGGAGAACCAAAAAAACTTGGCTTAGCTTACCTCTTTTACTGGACACCCTATAGCAGAGAAAGGACAGGGTCCTTCGAYTTCTGAACAATCTCCCTGCAGTGGGTCCAAATGAACAGACATCTAGAAGAAACAAGGACGAATAACCGTAAAATATAAAAACACAAACCTCTTTATTTCAAAAAATAACCGTTCTTACAAACCGAAAATAGCGTTCGACCGTATCAAGTTGAAGTGGGTCTGAAACAGTAAAAGATTACAAAAACGGAGCTGATGACTTACCATGTCCCGCGGGATTCCCTCTTTGTTACATTTCGGACAAGACACTGGAAACATCATGCATTCATCCTTATGATGCTCCTGTGAAAGCAATAGATTCAATGATGTAATTAAWAGTAACATTAACATTACKTAGCATCGYGCATTGTATCGYRGGATACCATGAGTTAAAGTGCRCCGTTTAAGAATCCCATGATGCATTGTGCATCGCATGTGACAGTGCCACGTTTAAGCATTTTGATTGGCTGGACAACGATGTAGCGCAATGTGATTGATTCAACGGAT